CGTGGTCCTGGACGTGGTGGACGTTCTCGAGGTTCGTATTATGGAAGAGGAGGATATGGAGGAAACGGGTATGGTTATGGTTATGGTGGTAGAGGCAGAGGCCGTGGTATGCCATCCCGTGCTTTGTAAAAGCATTTGCTGTATTATCTCGAGCTTGAGCTAGAAGCAAATATCTGCCTCTTTTAGGCAGGACAGTGTTAGTACTATCCGATCCTGTAACGTTTGTGCATCTTGTCTACGTTTTAAGGAATAAATTCAGGCTGTAAAAGTATGTTCAGTTTTCCTCCTTGGGCTAGAGCTCATTTATCTAGCTGCTAATTATACAAGCACAATGGCTAGAGTCCTATTGTAGCCTGCTTGGCGATTGCAATGTGAAAATTTGGCACTTACCATTTTCCTTTAGTAGTGTTAATGTACAATTCCAACTTTGAAGAAGTTTATTTACTTTAAGAGATTTGTTTGTGTAGTTGAAATTGCAAATATTCTCATATGGATACAATTTCAAGTTGTGAATATTTCCAGGTAGCATTCTTTTAGCAAATCTTAGTCCAACTTGTGGAAGTCACATATACAAAGCTAATCTGGGACAAAGTTTTCGGCGAGATAACTTCATTATATTTGTGGTGAAATTCTTATGCATTTAATTTCAAACTCACAAATGAAAGCTTGGCATTGCATAACTGCAAAAGGAATGAAACAAGTGCACACATTAACTAAAACCAAACTAAAGAGACTACTGTCTTTTATCAAATTGGTAAAATGACACCTGAAGCTTACTATAACAGCAGTTCTTTCATTATATATACAAACATATCCACAAATCCTGAACTCAAATCTAAAAGGAATGAAGTAACACACATTGAGTAAAAACAAACTATACAATATCTATCAAATTGGTAAAATGACTCCTGACTATTTGAAAGAACACTACTAAAAGAATGCAGCTAAAATATGGTTTACTGAGTTAAATGGCAACTAGCTAGTTCTATGATTAGTGAATCTGATTATCCAATTACTGCTACTTTTCTGATACAAATTCATCATTTAAATCACCAATGGACTTGAGTAGAAAGGTTTCAGAGAGTTAACAATTTGTAATAGCAGTTGTTTCCAGAGAGTAGAATCTGATAGCCTTCACCACAGGGACACCTAAAATGCAGAATCAGAGAATTCCCCATTCTTTCCACCCACACAGCTTCCTCACACGACGCTTCTGTTTCAGTTTCAGTCTCTGTCTCATTCTCCTATTTGTAAACAAGCAAACCCCATCAGTTAACAGAACTAATGCCAAGTGTTCAAAAGGTGAATCTCTTTTGCTTTATTATGAATATTAACAAAACAGCAAGAACTCCATCGCAGTAAACAAAACTAATTCTGAGTGTGTAAAAGGCAAATCATTTTTTGCACTATTAAGAACATTAAATGAAACAGCAAGAATCCCATCACAGTAAACAAGACTATTTATAAGTGTTTAAATGGTGAATCTTTTTTTGCTCTATTATGAATATTAAACAAAATATCAAGAACTCCGTCACAGTAAACAAAATTAATTCCAAGTGTTTAAGAGGTAAATCTTTTTTGCTCTCTTATGTACATTAAGCAGAAGAGCTAGAACCCCATCACAGTAAACAAAACTAATTCTGAGTATTGAAAGTGTAAAATATTTTGCTCTATTATGAACATTAAACAAAACAGCAAGAACCCCATCATCAGTAAACAAAACTAATTCTAAGTGTTTAAAAAGTTAACCTTTTTTGCTCTATTATGAGCATTCAACAAAACAGCAAGAACCCCATCACAGCAAACAAAACTAACTCTAAGTATTTAGAAGGTAAATCTTGTTTGAAAGGTAACAAGGCTTCTTTTCCTAAGAATGAGATTTGACAGATGAGTCCCATTGGTTTATGTTTTACATGGATAAGGATGTAAATCTATTTTGTTCCATGATATCTGAAAATTTCTCTAAGTTCAGAATCTTTATACAAAATGTCTGAGAAATGATTACGCCGCAGCAAGGTACATAATACTGAAACATCAGATAGCTTGTTTATCAATCAACTCTTCAATATGTCCAAATTTCCATAAATTATAGAGTCACAGATCAGTGTGAACCTCAAGAAATGTACCCATAATGGTCTATATGATATCAAGCAATATGATATCTGCTGTAGTTGCAAGTAATATAATATCTGCTGAGGTTAAAGAGTAGATCATATGGTCTCGAATACAAAAAATCCCATATAATCTAATATTAGTGAAACTCTAAACTTCAACACATTCCAGTTCAACAAGCTCAAGTTCAATGTTTAAGAATTACTGTTAATTTTTTGCACTACAACATTTAAGGGTACCGCAAACAATGAAAGAATTAAATAAAACTCTTTAGAGAAACTGTAGATCTACACAAAGTTTTTGTGATAAAAGTTCCAAACCTTTAAACTCTTGTTTTCTTCCGAGGAAGCTTTTTCTACTTGAGCATCTTCTTGAATCATAAGATCACACCATTGTCTCATTTCTTTCATTCCTTGCTTCATTCTCTTTAGCCTCTGCAAATTACACCAAAGATAAAGTAAGACTTCCATTTCTGTGAAGAAATTGAAATTGTAAACCAAAAAGAAGAAAATGAGATTGAAAACAAACAAACCATTGTAGTAGGAGATTCTGCATTGTTAACAGCATCACTTGATTCTTGAACATTTTGTGAACAGCTACCTGTTCTTGCAAGTGCACTTTGACTCGGTGATTTTCTCTGCAAATTTAAAATGAAGAAAGACAAATACATCAAACAAAAATTTTAGAGACAAAATTACCCCACCCCAATATTCCAATGAGAAACAAAATTTCATGAACTCAAAACCTAATAAAAAATTTTAAAATGAAAGAAGAAGAAGACTCAAGTTTTAGAAACAAACCATAGCATTAGGAGATTCTCCATTTTTGTTCAAAGCTCCACCACCAAATTCTTGAACATTATTTGGTGACGAACTAGCTGTTCTTGACAGTGCACTTTGTGGTGGATGAGTAGTGGATTTCTGTAAATGAAGAAAAAAAACCAAAACAAAAAAAGGCACCCCATTAAGAAAAATTGAACTAAAATTTCTGGAAACTGAAAATGAAGTCTCACACACACACACACACACACACACACACACACACACACATTCAAGCCAAAGGGAAAATACCCCAATATTTAGGACCAAAGAGAAACAACATTTCAAGAATATCAAAATCCCAATAAATAAAAATAAGAAAGGAGAAAGACCCAAGTTTTAGAAAACCAAACCAAAGCAATAGGAGATTCTCCATTTTTGTTAAAAGCGCCACCACCTAATTCTTGAATAGTATTTGGTGACCAGCTTGTTGTTCTTGGCAGTGTACTTTGAGTAGTAGCTGATTTTCTCTTATTAGAACCACAACCAGAGCCGCCAGTGGGATCAGATAAAGTCCGATAAAGTGGTGTAGGAAACTGAGCTGGCACTAACGGCGGCTTCGCCGGAGACGGCGAAGGTGACGGAGTTCTTGAATTTACGATCAGCTGAGGTTTAAGGAAAGTAGAATTAGATTCTTGGTGGTTGTAATTTTGAAGTGGGAGTTTGGTGAACCCTTCGAGGATATGGGGGTGGCTGTTGGTGTCGCCGCCGGCGGTGGAAATGGGCGGTGGTGGTAGAGGGGTGGTGTCAGTGGCGGTTCTTTTAGGGAATGGTTCTTCAAGAGATGAAGTGTAGTTACAGTTTGAGTATCTTTTTGTTTTTGTAGTGGAGCCACCGTAAAGGGTGGTTTTTTCAGGTGATGGGTCGCCGGAGAGTTGTTGGTCTGTGGTGGGGTCAGCGGTGGAGTGGTGGTTGAGTGCGGCGGAGCTGAGGTGGAGCATGGCTAAGGGAGAATCAATTGGAGTTGAAAGGTCTTGCAGTTCTTGAAAACTCATCTCTTTCCNGGTGGGGGATAGACTGGTTATCAGTTTTTCTTTTTGTTGATTTATCTCTAAATCTTGAATTTAGTTGTGGTTATATTCAAAATTTTATAACTAGTTTTTTTTTCTCCCTTTTTTAATATAGGTCACAAGTTCAAGGGGTGAAAATTAGGGGTGGGCGTTCGGTCGGTTCGGTTATTTGGTTTTCGATTTTGTAAAAGTAATAATCGAAACGGAACTGAAATAAGTTCGGTTCAGTTCGATTTTTTAATTTTGGTTCGTTTTATTTCTAATCGGTTTTCGGTTTGAACATTATCATATTGGGCTCTCTCTATGTAATAATTGGACTGGCGAATTTGTTGGTTTTCTTTTAAAATTTCGGTAAGTTAGAATAAAATAATAAGTTTGGATTGAGTCTTTGATGGACTTCAAAATTGAGCCTATATTATTACTTATGGGCTTAACCTATATATAACTTAAAGAATCGATATGCTAATCATTCGGTTTTTCGGCTAACCGAACCAAATAAATTAATAATCGAAAACCGAACCGAAAAACTGAAAATTTAAAATTTTAAACTGAACCGACCGAAAAAACCAAATAACCGAAACCGAAATAAAAATATTTTCGGTTCGGTCGGTTTCTTCGGTTCGGACCGAAATATACCCACCCCTAGTGAAAACAGTCTCTTTCAAAAATGTCGAGTAAGGTTACATACAATAGATCTTGTGGTCCGGCTCTTCCCCGGACTCCGCGCACAGCGGAAGCTTAGTACACCAGGCTATCCTTTTATTGATTTCTCTTCATGCATATCATTTTTGTTTTTGTATATGGTGTAGTATATATTGTATTTGTATATATCTTGAAATTGGTTGAAAATTTGAGAATAAGTTACCAAAAAATGCATATCCTAGTGTTACAAGTCCTTAGTTTGAAATAGATTAGTATCAATTAAATAAATTACACACCAATATTGATTGAGATAAAAATGAGTTGAATGTCATGATATACTCCAATTTGCCCAACTCAAAATCACTTCTCAAATTCATTCTTGTTACAAGGGTCAAAAGGTGTTTCTCCCCTTACCCATTTATTCATTCATTATTTTATTTTCAGATAGAGAAGAAACTATTTAACCAAATTAGAGAGTTGGGAATCAACCTTTGTGTAATATATATTCTTTTAGCAAGTGATTATCTTAAGGCTCCGATTACGTAAAACTCGATTAATTTTGACACAATTAATTTGAATACAATGAGCTAATTAGGATTCCTCTAGTTTAAATACATAAATAAATGACTTCATATGTTACAAATTCTGGGAGGATTTTGGTGAGATAACAAATAATACATCTCCAAAGTTTACTTCATTTATATCGAAATTCTACAACATTTTAATTCAAACTTATAAAGAAAAGCTTGGTAATACATAACTTCTAGGAAGAGAAAGGTGAGATAAGAAATTAAATTTTGTTGAAATTATATGACTATCTCATCTAAAAGCGTATAAGCTATTAGAGAGAATACATTTTTATTTACTTAATTCTGTTTTTAATGTCCCTCGTGAAAATTCTCTCATCAACTAAGAAAATGATCAACTTATTTTTTCAACACTCCTGTTAATATGCGGGCATGATTATTTTTTATGGGCTAAACACGTGAAAATTCTCTGTTCTGCTCAGAAAATTAATTTACTTGCAAGTAGCAACAAGGACCTTCCTAGGTGGAAGAGAAGGTCTTCTAGCATGAAGTGTAGCAAAGTTATCAAGGAAGAGAACATCATTTTTTTGCCACTTGAATTGTATGCTTTCTTCTTCAATTATCTCTTCACATCTTTTTACAAAATTTTCTGGTATTTCTGTTCCATCAAACATCATAGCTGAGCTTATGTCTTTGCCATACATTCCAACCAATGTATTGAACCACATCCTTCTTCCCTTTCTTCCTTCAAAAACCCTCGTTAAATATCGCGGTCCTAAGATTGTTTTTACACCTCCATTTGGTAGCCATTCCATCTCCATTCCAAGTGCTTTAGCCCTGTAACAAAGATTTTTCATCAAGATTGTAGTTATAGGTCACGAGTTCGAGCCGTGTAAGCAATAACCAATGTTTGTATTAGGGTAGACTGTCTATATCACATCCTTAGGTGCGGTCTTTCCCCGAATATTACGTGAATATGGAAGATTTTGTGCACCGATCCCCGAACTTTTTATTTTAGTTATAGAGTTCGAAGAATGAAAGCTTGCTTAGAAATTTTTTGTTGTGCAATTGAATGTACACTATGTGCTTATTAGTGTCTTACCAAATAATGTAATCAGAAACTTATTCTTTTACTTTTAAGGACAAGTTGTTATAGTTATAAAAATATCATAACATGTTTACAATTATAAATTTTAATTATTTTTTCTTATTAACTTTGTGTTTATAAGACAAATACCGTAATAAAGTGATATATATACCAAAATAAATTATATTGGTCAATTCGTGTATCAATCTTCGTTGATGCTATCTCAACTTGATAATGTATGGGGGGAATGAATAAGGCAACTTTTCTCGGAAAAGCATTGCTTATATTTCCTAATATCAGTCTTTTATTTGTTTCATAAAGAAAAAAGCTTCATTTTCTTTTCCACTTTTTGCCAAACTACTCTTTCTGAATTTCTCCACTATTGTTTTTAATAAAAAAATGTTCTTAAATAGCTAGACTTTCAATTAAATATGATATATTTGATAATGCAATTTTATAGTTGTCATCAACAATCACAGACTGCTAATTCACGCTATATACTTTTCCTGATATATAGTTTGAGTCGAAAATAATGCACGTATTCATGCCACTGCCTTAAATATAGCATTTTACTACTATATTTTACAACGATGAGAACCTTTATTTCCACTATTATTTCCTTCTTTTTTAAATCAAAGCTAGATATAAAATTTACAATTGTCCTCAATAATATGTTTACCACAATTTGATAAGGGTAAAAATACGATATAATTAAAGAACAATATTTACATAAGCTAGTCATGTTAGTACATTTACTTTCGATCTGATTTGTTAGGAGTCGTTTAAGTTTTATTAAAGATTTATATGCTGATAGAAAATATATAAAACTTATAATGCTAGGGAAACTAAGTTTATATAATATTAATTACCTTTTTTCAGCTTCAGCAGGATCAGAAGTACCAAAAGCATCTTCCCAACCTCTGCCTCTCATTGAAGCTTTGTCATTCTTACTTGGAGCAGTAAATGTGTATTTCAATCCTTTCTTTTCTATTTCTTCAACAATTTCTGGGAATTCCTCTATCATTCTTTCTGTTACTCTGAAGCTTGGTACAAATGGTGTTTCTCCACCTTCTGGTGGTGGTATTTCACAATACAGTATCACTTTCTTTGGGAATTCCTTTATCTATAGCATGTCACAGAATTAAAAAAAAAAGATTTGTTTTAATTAATCGGATTTTATAATTTATATATTTTAACAGCCAAAAATAATGTTTACATTATAAGTATAATTTAACATGTTGTTGTGTACTTGTCTGCCTTATTTTTAACTCACTAGTCTCACTAAGTATAGACAATTACTTGTAGTTATCTTTTAAAAAGTCAAAACAGATTGTTTCGGTCGGTCCTTTTTTTAAAAGATTAATAATTTAAAAAGGCACCATCAGGGAATCGAACTAGGCTCTATAATATTAGTTATACTCGTTAATCGCATTTTTGTACGAAAATAACCGACCAAATTTGGTTGGTTTTATTAAAAAATAAAGTTACCAACCGCAATTAGTCAGTTTTTTAAAATGATCGACCAAAATAACCGACTGATATCGGTTGGTTTTCTGAATATTGATTCAAATTTATTTTAAATAAAACCGGTCGAAGTTGGTCATTTTCTTGAAAAATAAACTTCCCGGGACGCAAAAGTAATATTCGGTACTTTGGCGCGAAAAATAAAACGACTGAATTAACTGAATTCAGTCGATTTCGTAAAAAAAAAAAAAAAAAAAAAATTCAAAAACCGACCGAGTTTAGCCGGTTTTTTGACTGACCGAAGTTGGTTGGTTGGCCCTAAACGGTTTTGACAGAAATTCTAGTAGTGAATTAGTTGAGTATTAATCAGCGAGAGCCGATTAAGGAGAGATAAAAGAATAACTTAGGTAAATACTCTTACGATTAAGACTATTGAAATGAGTTTCTTAAGGGAAGCTTAAAAACTTTAAAACACAGATAATACTAAGTAAAATGAACAAAATTTTGAGAAGAAAATACTTACAAGGACCATCTCGTGATGAAAATATATGAATTCAGAAAGGGGTCCTTCATTAGCAGTCCATACTCTCTTATAAATATGTGTTCTTGGTGCTGGTCCAACATATCGAATATCTTCCCAACCAAAAGTTTCAACAATATCATTAAAATTTTGTGCATTTTTTACATCAAAACCTCGTAAAAGAACAGCACTATTCTTAGTAATCATATTGTCAAACCATTCTTTGTTATTGTCCAAAGACTCAAGCAATGATTTGATGTCATTCTTGTTTGGTTCTATAGGGTTTAAAACTAATGGCATGATTTCACCATCTACAATTTTTTCTCCTTCGCATTTGCCTACCTTAAAATCCTTGCAACTGTATTCAGCCATTTCTCTCTTCTTAATTTGCTTTTTTTCTTTTGGTTTAATTTTTTGAGGCTATGGTATTTATAGATGAAATGGAGGTGAGTTAGCTTGTAGAGAGTTTTTGTTAATCGCTAATGCACATATGAATAAAAAGATAATGAGTTGGTGAATAATCAGAGGCGGATTCAGGATTTAAATTTAATAGGTTCAATCTTTAAGATTTTTACTATTTAACTCATTATACTAATAAAATTATGGGTTCAGATATTATAACTGTTGATATTTTAGTAAGTTTTTATATATATATTAATACCCTGTGTCGAAAGTTATATGTTCGATTGAATCCGTAGCTAAGGCTATATCCGCCCATATTGGTGACGGCCAACTTTGGGTTTCT